GGTTTGGTGGTTGGTGCATAAATTTGAATAATAGTAGTATTAACTGGTCTTCCTTATAGGCATATGGATATTATCCTATCACTGACTGCATTGTACTTCAGGACAGATCTTGAAACACTCTTTGTGACAATGAATGCCACACTATTCCTCTTCAATCTGTCATTCCAGCATAGCAGATCATATGGTTGTCTGATTCAAAATGGCCAAAACCAGTCCAATTCAGCTCACTAATACCTAGGTTATTGATCTTTATGTGTTCCACTTCATTCTTGACAACTTCCAATTTTCCTAGATTCATACTTTGTACATTCCATGTTCCGATTATTAATGGATGTTTGCATCTGTTTCTACTCATTTTGAGTTGTGCCACATCAGCCAATGGAGGTCCCAAAAGCTTTACTCTATCCATATCATTAAAGTTGTCTCTACTCTGAGGAGTCAGCTTTTCCCCAGTTAAATTTTGAGTACCTTCTGACCTGATAGGCTTATCTTCTGGCACTATATCAGACAATGTTTCAGGGCTACTCATAAATAAAGTAATGTATCAGACAGCATTTCACTGTTATTCGTAAGGTTTTCACTGGCCGATTGTTTGAAAAGTAGATGGCCTCTTCCTTCTTCTGAGTCTGTCTTAGCACAGAAACTCCACTGGAATCTGCCTACAATGAGTAACTACATTGGCATCTTGCAACACGGTGTCATACCCTCCAGCCTCATAGCAACAGGTAAGCTACCTACCACAGGATGACAAAGTGACAGACAAGTTTGTCTCCCTTAGTTGTTCCTAACCCCTCTACCACCTGCCTACCTCAGGCAGCAGCCCTGAAATAGAGCCCCCCACAAGCAAAAAGCAGCCCCTGAGCCCCAGCCTGCCTACCTCAGGCCCTGGCCTTAATAAAGACCCTCCCGCAACTGTAAAGCAACCTCCAAGCCACGGCCTACAAACTGGATACTCTAAAAGAGGGATAGTCAGACAGTATCAGCCTCGTGATGGGCTGCAAGAGACAGCAAAAGGGCTATCTATGAAGTTTTCTTGCTTAAAAAATTGTAACTGAATTTAATTGCATCTTTAGACCTAACTGCCAGTTTACAAGAAGGACACTCAAGATAGAGGAGCAAGTTAAATGGCACTACAAGGAAGTAATCAACCAAATCAGAATGGGGGACATTCCAGGGAGCGAATGACAGACATTGCCACAAAATCAATGGCAAGAAATAGGATGGAAAAAAAAATGTTAAAATTGAACAATGCCTGTTATATGTGTTATGCAGTGTGTAGACCTTTTTCAAGGTTGGCGGTTCAAACCCACCAGCCACTCCTCGGAAGGAAGGTTGGGCAATCCTACTTCTGTAGTGATACTGCCTCGGAAACCCAAGGAGGGGTC